TTTTTTTCTCAATTTGAAGTCGTTTTTTCTGCATGTTGTGATAAAAAATCTGAACGAAATAATAGAACTTAGGCATATTTGAGAGTCATAGTAAAATAAGTCAATTTGAAAACAAAACAGTTTTTGAAAAATATTGACTTGAAAAACTAAAAAAAAAACGAATTTTTTGCGGAAACTTTTAATTCCCAAAATTGCGCTAAAAACTCCAAAAACTATTTTTACTTTAGTAAAATTAAGTCTTCACTGCTTAAATTAAGTTTAAATAAGCTATTGCAAGCCTACACCGTTACCTTATTAGCTCGAAATTGGACCAGAAATCAAAAATTTCAAACCGGTTTTTCTTGACACTATGAAAACTTTTCAAAATATTTTAACGCCGCTTGAATCATGACTGAAAGGGCTTTATTATAATTGAATATCAATCAACCCTGTCCGATGACTATTTGTTGTAGCTGATTTCGCTTTAAAATTAGCAGGTCTTTAATATCACAACCCTGTTCGATGATTATTTGTGGTAGCTGATTTTGCGTGGAAAACAAAAAGTTGAAAAAAAAATAACAATAACAAAAGCACACCCGAACACAAAGTTCCTCCCCATTTCAATGGTCGGAACAAAAATGAACACATCGAGTATTTGAATGCAGCAGGCGAAACTAATGTTTTGTTTGTAGTTTTTGCGTTTTGTTCAAAAGTTCATCTACAACGCTGGTATTCCAGAAAAATAAATCAAAGTTCATTAAAGAAACAGGAGGACAAACTTATGTTCCTAAATACTCAATCATTGCAAAGCCAACATGAGCAACTACCAGTTTTTGTTGCTGCACTAGCCGAACTCCTATAGTTTTTTGCATTTTGCGAAATATTGCAGTGACTTGTACACCAGATTGATTTGTACGATTTTTGAGACTATCAAAAACATCAGCTAATTAGTAGGGAAAGATGAGGGAATGGGAAAGTTTTGGTGGACGGACACGGATAATGCATTCAAAGACTAATTGGATCTCAAGTTAACATCCCCCCCCCCCCCCCCCCCCAAGTAAAATGCTCTATTCTGATTGGCTGGAAATTCGAACTCAAAATCAAGTTAACAGATTGCAAACTATGGTGTAACATACAGACAGCGGGATCTACAACTTGGTCAGTTTTCTGATAGTTTTAACTATTTACTCAACACGATCAAGGAATAGGATGAAACCTTCATTTGGCTGGACAATTATTATTGACTTAACTCAAAAAAATTGAGCCTAAAAAATTTGCTACGATACTAGACCTCGCATAGCTTTAATTTTCATCACAAAAGCATAATTTTGACGTTGAAAACTTGAAATGCTCAATCAGTGATCATTATTCCACAGTGGCTAAAGTATCGAGTGAAAAAGCACCAGAGCTTTAAATTTACGACAAGGATCTGACATCCCTCAGAAATTATGTTTTGCTTCTAAATTCATTCATTCGCAATCTAAAAAAGCGCTAAAAATTTTCTCTCTCAAGAATGATTGATTTGATTCAAAAAACTTGGAAAGTTTGACCTTTCCACAAAATTAAATCCACGGAAAAAATGGGGTTCCACAAAAAATGAATCCCAGAAATGGTTAGGTAATGAAAATGGTGAATTAACAAACAGGTTCAAAACAAGTGCAGATAGAGATAGAAAAAATTCAAAAATGATTTACGCCCTCGTTTGTCTTTTAATAAAGCAATGTTTACGAATTTTTGAAAGAGAGTGAGATTGTTTATTTAAAAAAATTGATTGCAATCAAAATTTTCAATTGTGCAAAACTAGACGCCAGACATCTACATTTTTAAATCGATTTTGAGGAAAATCAAAGCTGTCTAGAGTCCAGCAAATGAACATAAAGTTTCAGCAAACAGTTAAAACTTAGAAGTAACCGTTGATTGCTTATCACACAAATGGTAATCCGGATTCTTCCAACGTCTGACCTATACGTTTTTTAACAAAATTCACAGACTCTCCAAAAAACGAATCGACGATAGACCAGTTTCATTAATCAGAACATTTATAAACCGCGAACAATTTGTATTTCAAAAAACAAATCTAGCAGTCATGAAATTGTTCGCCGTACAGAATTTATTTGGAAAGCGTTAAAAAGAAGAATAAGACAAGCTTTTTTCTTTGTTGGAAAGTAATACGAAAACTTTTGGTTATGTGATCTATGGTAAAAGAAAACTTGAACACACGTGGTAGAAGTGTTACATTAACTTGCAGAAATGCTATTTTTCTAATCGAAGGCAAAATCGTTAAATGAGAGATGAAGAACCTGAAATGCGTACTTATCCAATGGGGTGGAGCACGGGCACTATTTTAGCACCACTATTTTTCCACTGGTGACAAAATAAAAAAAAACATGATATGTTAAAAAAACTAGTAGCTTCAAATGTCCTGGAATTCTGTAGACAATTAACTCAATTTTATGAATAATGTTGACAAAGTTCATCTAAGTAGCGTACCGAGCCCGATATGTTTTTTCAGAAAAAGTTCGTCCTATTTCACAAGACTTACAAAACCTCTATTATACCGTATAATCTGATTGTGAATCGTTGGTTTCCTATGGAAAAATAAATTGAATCAAATTGGTTTGGCACAGAAAATAACGTATTACAAACAACTTTTTTCAAAAAAGTGAATTTTGGGTGTTTTTGATAAATTTAGAACTAACACGGTTTCTAAACTATTCCTTTATCAGCCTTTTAGAGATAAATTTCTTAAATAAAACAAATTTTTTCTTCCATTTTAAATTAATAAATTGACGATGTTTAACCAAGTCCAAGACTGAAGGTAGTATTGGTACAGCTATACAGTGATTTAAATTATCCGGACTAAAGGTGTGAAAATAAAAATCAACAAGGCGTTAATATATTTTTAAAAACTCTCATTATTCAAGTTTAACGGTTTTTACAAATTCCTGCTACATTCAGCAAAAAATTAAACAGTCAAAAAAACTAAACTAACACAATGCTACATTTTTATGGGCTTATTTTCACTTCGTGGAAAAATCCAAGGTTTGGAATTTTTACTTCAAAATTTTAGGTTACATAGAATTTCTAAAAAAACTAAGTTTCTAAATCTACTAGTGGCATTTTTAGAGAAATGTCGTAAGTTGGAAAAGGAACATTATGTTTTTTTTAGACCAAACCATCGTTGCATTATACTGCAGCGCCAAGATTTATGTGAGACGACCACTAAATCATCCCAATTATATCACTCCAACAGCAAAGATTGTTGGAAAAAGGGTGATGTTTTGGGGCTGCATAAAAGTTTCTGGGAAAGATATTTCAGCCATCGACGGAAACATGATTTCTGCCAAAAGTTGCAAATTACTTGAAACCCACTTGATGGAAATAGTTTATCTGGACGAAAATTTCCAGCAAGACAATGCCAGTTGCCATAACTCCAAACTTTGGGAAAGTTTTTCCAGGAAAACGGTTTCCGAATTTTGGAAACTTGGCCCCCACAATCTCCAGATTTGAATATTTTTGATAACTTATAGAATTACAAGAAAGAGGATTCGTGAAAAACACCCGACAACAGTTAAAAAACTTATTCGTCAAGTTTTTGAAACATTTTTGGCAATTCCGGACTACAATCATCGGTTATATCGGAGCATTCCTCGTAGTATAAATGCAGTTCTAAAAAATTAATGGTTATCAAACCAAATACTAATTTTGTTGACTTATGTTAAACTTTGATCTGTATTTGTTAATTAGTAAAAAAAATGTATGTAAATGTTGAAAAAATTGTAAATTGGGTGTTAATATTAATAGTTTTTAGTTTTCATACCTTTTCTTTGTCTGATAATTTAAATCAGCTCAGCACTAGTTTACTCGAAAAATGGTTCAACTGGTTTTGTCAAATTAAGTTCAAGAAGCTGACAGCCGTGAAGATGGTGCAGAGGATTATAAACTGCCTGCTTACCTGTTAACTCTCGGTCTCTGATCCTGAAGAATGTAGTTCAAATGCCAAAACACGTGGAATAGTTATTGTCTACGGTTCTAAAGTATAAATAACATGTAGCGCGAACTGTAGCTTTTGTAAATAGTTCCACTTTATATTCCAAAAAAAAAAATCCATTTTTTAATTCACTTTTTACAGTTTTACTGTGTGGTACTGTGGCCGCAGTACCACACAAGGGAAGCTCTGAAATAAGCTTCAAAACCAATTTCCATATGAAAACTATCACATTTACAGATCAATAGACCTTTCCGGGTAACTTGCTGCAAGTTGGAGTGAAACAAAAATTTCATTCCAAACCAATTTTAACGTCACTGAGAAAAAGTTTCTTTAAATTTTAAAAGCCGACCGAATCGCGATTAAGAAGTCTTGAAAATAATATATCACTCGACCCATTCCGATGATTATTGATTGGCCACCACAATTATTGATACACACCCGAATTCAAAGTTCCTCCCCACTCTCAGTGGGTAGATTGTGGGGCTCCGGTAGTTATGGTGCCCAGTAATCATGTGATATGGTTGCTGGTTCAAATGGCCCATTCGCTGCAATTTGCAAGTTATAGCTCAATAGGTGTTGCTTATTTGCGCTCTTGTCAATCTAAAAAAATAAACCTTCAGGTTAGGCCTCCGGGTTGGTTCACTAAAAAAGAAGTGTTAAAGTAGCTCGGGGTTAAGAGAACAGAAAATGGCAACCTATCGCTTAAACCCAAGGCCATGTGCAACGAGAGCCAAATAAGGAATTGGGAAGAGCAGACCAAAAACAATAGTGGTTACTGGGACCCTGTAAACGCTACTAAGTTCCAGTTGTAGGATATGGCGTCATATTCATTTCTAGGGTAAAAGTCCCGAATAAGGAGGTTCATTTTTCAGCTGAGCAATATTCAGCAGGTTCACATTTTGATTTAGCTTAAATCGGTTCATGAAAAATGCCGTGAAATTCCGTCCGGATGATTTTAGTGTTACTGCATCAATAGCAGAAATATTTGTTCCTTTATTTTTGTTTTCCTCTAAAACAGTATAGCTTCAAACCGGTGGTTACAAAATTGCACGTGAAACATTTCAAATCCCAACGGTAGTTCATTCGTTCATATTACGCTTTCAATTGTGGAGTATATCAAAATGCGCACCGAAACACACCTGCCTCCATTGGATGATGAAAAATCGATTCTGCGGGTGAACAGTCCAAAAAGTCGCCGCGACAATGGCCGATCGCCGACAAATGACGACTCGTCGTACGAATCGTCAACTGAGTCGACCGACGAACCAAATCAGCCAATGAACTTTCAGCATTCAAACGACTACAGTCACGACGATTACTTCGATTCACTTCATAAGAACTTAATACCAAAAATGGGTCAGCCAAAATTATTGACAAAAGATGAAACGAGTCGATTCAGAATGAGCGCGAGGCAAACTCTTTTCACAGATATGTTGCTCAATGGATTCAATAAGTCTTACATGGAGATTTACAACTTAGAAAGACAATTTCAGGAGGAAAATAAAGCGCAAGGAGTCAACACTGCTGTCATGCTTCCGGACCAAGAGTTAAAACTATTGTGCGATAATCTGCAAGCTGTAGAAACGTACGAACGATCCAAGTCTTCAAGTCACTCATACACGACGTTGAAAAACCTAGCCGAAAAGTTTGAATCAGCGCCTTTCGTTAATCAATATTTGATGAAACGGTGCTTCCAAGTAGCTGTTCAAGTTGGCGACTCGGATCAAAACCGAATTTTGGCCGATGCTCACAAACTGGTTGGAATGAACTTCTTTCGACTGGAGAAATACGACCAAGCATACGATCACCTGAACCGCTACATGGAAATCGTGGACCAATCAGATTGGAAGAATGTGCCGGGCCAATTCAACTTCTACATCGATGCGTGCAATGCACTTCGGCTGTTTTACGTTCGGCTGGGTGAATTGACTTCGAATCCAGAGGAGGCACTGGAACATTTCCAGATGGCACACTCGTATGCAGCGCTTTGCGACAACAAGCAGCAAATTAAACAAGTCAGCCATAAACTAGGTAAGGGCCGTAAACATTGCAGTTAAATTTGTTAAAAATAATAATGCTATGGAAGTTCGGATAGACAAAGTTGACATAGAGGCAAAGCCGCACTTCACAAACACCAGGAAAAACAAAACGCAAAATTGTGACTATTTCGAATGAATTACACAAAAAGACTTGTCATGGTTCCTTGTCGACATTTCTTGAACAAATTTTTATATTTTTCATTAACAAACAAAAACCACTCAATGTTCGCTCAATAGCAGTTAGAAACATGCTGATTAAAATTAGTTCAAAATCCTGAAAACTTTAAAAATATCAGATTTGGACAAATTTGCGAATGAGGAAATGAATCGTAATCTGTAATTCAGGTCGAATTTGTCAACCCTAATGCCAGTGCCCGTTTGCATCAAGGAGATAAGGCTATTAAAATATCAAAAATATCAAACAGTCAAAAGCTTAAATTAACCGAAAAGTCACTTCTGAAACTGAAAATCGAACGCCAATCCCACTTTTTTATTGGAGACAATTAATTTTGTGCACAATTTAAGTAAATAGTTCCACGAAACGAGCTTCAGAAGAAACCAAAATTCATAACACCTAAATAGAAAAAGCAATGAGCGTCAACAAATGTTTCCTCAATCCACATGACTGAAATAGGTGAAAATTATCGCGCACAAAAACCTAAA